GTAGGCGCTGAAGCCATCTTGCACAGCGGAAGAAGAGGTAGTTAAGTGTTCCAGATTGATGCAGCTTGATAGGTTTATAATGCAGATTAAAGCCACCTAGCCTAGTATCAAAAATTTACTTGCTTATAATTTTATTTCCATGCGAAGAATACGAAAACAAAAGATTAGGTCAGATATCATGCGTCTAATTCTGAGAGAAGTCAAGCCCAATTTTTTAGAGCGTAGATGACAATCTGGAATATCAATTAGTTGTTCCACCCTTTCACGACGAAAAACCAGACGGGTAAAAGTGTGCTGAAGTCTTTCAATCTTCATTATATCTTTTTTACGGGAAGGAGTCCAAACTTGTGAACTGTATTCGAGATGTGGAATAACATAAGCTTTGTATAACCGGGACAGTATCATTGGATTACGAATTTGTATATTATGAAAGATTGTAAATAAAGTGGCATATGCCCTGTTGACAATTAAATCAATATGCTTAGAGAACTTCAAATACAATCGATGATAACTCCCAGATCTTTCACATCTTGACTATCATCTCGACTCCATCAGTTCTATGCGAAGTTGAAGAACGCTTACCAAGATGGAGAAAGGAACACTTTCTTGGATTGAGAGAGAGTCCATTTTGAGAAGCCCATCCACACATTTTATCAATCGATGACTGCGATGCAACATGAACTGTGCCAAAGTTGTCTTCATCATAAGATGCATATATCTTTGTATCGTCTGCATAGATTTGTACGCGTACATCCGTTGTTTTTAAAGTATCTGGTAGGTCCAATGTGTGTACCAAAAATAACGAAGAGATAGGACAGCTCCCTGAGGAAGTCCACTGAGACAGGAATTTTTTGGAATATTCATGACTAATCTTTACCGTCATGCATATATTGCTCAAGTAAGACACAAACCAAGTTAGTAGGTTTCCCGAAATTCCGATATTCTCTAGTTTGCAAAGAAGCAAACGGTGAGGTATTCTGTCAAAAGCCCTGGAAAGGTCGAAGTATATAATATCCAAGATTTTCTCACAAGGCTAACTTCCAATCAAAAACGACCTCATTAAGATTAGTTGCAGTTGACTTGCCTGGCACAAAGCCGTGGTGCTCGGGCGACACAAGATGGAACCTCTCTAACCAAAGTAGTAATCTACTTCTAATAATTCTTTCCATAATCTTGACGGGCACAGAATTATGGCTAATGGGGCAAAAATCGGCAACACTTTCAGCTGCGGAAGTTTTAGGCACAGCTGGAACAATGGCTTCCTTCCAAAGGGAGGGATCTCACCGAAGTATAGGGAAAGATTGAATATATCAGCAAGCGGTTTGGCAAGAGTATCTGCACACATTTTATAGAGTATCTGAGGGATGCCATCGTACGGCTCATACACGAAGGTTTTAGGGACGTCGAGACTCTTCTCACTTCCGCAGGGTGAAAATAAACAGAGTTCAATTTGTTTTATGAAGGAGGGTGGGAGGAAGAGGGGGTGATTTTCAAAGGATTCGCAAACACAGTGGCAAAGTATTTACCCAAAACTTCTGCTTTATTGGAATCATTACAGCAAATAACCCGAAGAGTCTTTCAACACCGGGAGGCTAACCTTACTTTGTAACTTGTTGTAAATGTATCTAAATAAATTTCTCATAGAAGATTTCTTCGATAAGCGTCGCTCATGATTGGCTAAAAAAATTTTGAGGTGCAAATCAATATCAGCACAGACTTTCTCATACAGTCTGCCCCAATCGGGATCAGGCCGGACCGTCGGCTGGATTTGCGCGCTCGCAGCGGGTTTTGCGCTGCATACGCGCGCTGTCGTAGAGAGCGAAGAGATTGAGAAGAGACCAGCTGTTAGCCGTAGACGTGACGCAATACCCTCGCGACACGGGCTCCCGCGATGCCAATTTTGGACTGGTTAGGATTGGGGCAGACTGTACAAGGAGCTAGACAGAAGTGAATCTATAACACAAGATAAGCGACATTTCTATTCAATAAGGGAACAAATTTGAGCAGGATAAATCGACCCAGGGATGCAATTAATCTTCATAACACCAAACAATGCCATTCCAGTATAGATGACTGGCAGAATCTGAGACACAAATCATCAACATTGCGATAATTAACAAACAGTGCAGTCCAATCAACTTCAGATAAATACTTGCTGAGCGAAACGTAGTCAGAGTGCACAAAATCGGGTGTAGGATAAGATAGGACAAGTTGAAAGTTGTCTTTATACTCAAATGTAATGATGCTATGATCTGCAGAAGCCAAAGGGGATAGAGTCTGACATTGTGAACGTTTTCGGAAGTGGACAATGGGATGTCCAGTATACTATCAGCGTGGGTTGGATATAAGATATGCTGTTTCAATTAAGCGTTGATGAAGAAGTCAAGGAATGGTTTAGATTCAGGACTGATGTGCTTCATAGTGAACCACAATATGCAGATTGAAATGGTCCAAAATAAATGTACTATTTCCATCGGAAGTTAGAATGGTGAGAAGCTCAATCGGCTGTTTATCATCACCCTGCGTGGATTTAGGTGGACGATACACGATTGCGAACTTGGCAGTATTCAAACTCGACAAACAGAAAAGTTCCACAGTCAATAAATCAGAACTCGAAACAGTAAATCTAGTCACCTGTTTGATGTAGAAGCAACCTTTGACAAGGCAGCTTACACCACCACCCGTTTCGGTCTGTCAGTACGAAATATAGAATATGGCAGATCACCGATCAGCTCAGAGTCGTGTATTCTTGGCTTCCAGGTTTCAGTCAGAAAAACGAGATCAGGTTTAGTATGTATCAGAAGCGAATGCAAATGATGCAATTCATCTATATATATAAAACTCAAAATTGTGAGTTTGGAGGCTATGTGCGTTATGGAAACGCGCGCCGCTCAACCGATTCAGCTGAAACTTTGCACACATACGTTTTCGACCCCTGCGCAGATGATAGGCTACTTTTTGCGGCGATTCGTTTTGTCCTTCTATCGATTTATTGATTTGTTTACGTTTTTCTAAGGAATCGAAGGCTTTTCATGTTTGACCAAGCATTTTCTCATTGTCATGTAAAGAAGAGCGGTGAAGTTTATTTCTACCACAGGATCACGAAAATGCAGTGAACGAAATGGGCGCAAGGTAGGTCATTCATATGAAAAAACGTAGGGGGGGGTTGCAATGCGGTAGTTTTGCTGGCAACCGCACCATCTACCTCATCTGTGAAAACTTCCCCGGGATGGACGGAGAAGCCAACTAGTTCACAATAATACGTGCATTCAGTAAAACACATTGTTGCAGTATTCCAGGGCTCCCATGCGTGGTCATTAGTTTACTGAACTCCTACAGTCTGCCCCAATCGTGATCAGGCCGAATCGTCGGCTGAATTTGCGCGCTCGCAGCGCCAGGAGATTGCACTGCATACGCGCGCTGTCGCAGAAAGTGAAGAGATCGAGGAGAGAGCAGACTAGCTAGCCGCAGATGTGGAACGAAACACTCGCGGCGCGGACTCCCGCCATGCCGATTTTGGCCTGATTAGGATTGGGGCAGACTGTATTTGGAAGCTCCAAGATACGCTTCAGTTGGCCGCGATAAACGACACACTCCTTCTCGGGTCTCCCAGCGTTGAGTTCCTTGGCCTGGTGCCTAAGTTCGTATTCGACCCTCCGTTCCTCGCTAGTCATACTTTTACGAATGAAAATAATGGAGAAGGGTGAGTTTCGAAACCGATAAGAATTTGCTAAAGCTTTTTGCCAATAGTAAGTTGATGGAAAAATGACCTTAGCAAGCCGAGGACGGTAGGGCGTTGCCTTCCCAAGGCGAAGGACTTCGCTTGGGCAGCAGTCAATATCAAGAACGTCCATGATATCGTCTACCCTACTCCTAAGGTCCCTAGCCCGTTCCGATACGCGGAGATCATTCGATGACTCCCGTATCCCAATTATGACAATTGTACGTGATCGTTTCTCAGCCTCAAGTTCACCAGAATCTGCATTCTGGAGTCTCTGCGGTAGGATGTCTAGCAATTGATCGATCACTGGTTCCTTGTTCCTATCCTTGATATGCAGCAAAAGGTCTGAGGCTCACATATTAGAATAGTCAGGACGTTGACCTCATTTTGCATGCCAACAATAGGAGCAGGAGTCGATGCGGAGCTAGAAACATCCTACGAGATGAACGAGAGGCTTTGGGAGGCATGATCACGATCTAGAGAAACCAGTATAGTCAAAGGCAAAAAAAAACCAATGCGAAAAGGCGCAAGCGATAGCGATTCCAAACCAGTAGAACGTAACCGGATGAGGAAGAAACAAAATCGAACCGAAAATAAGCAGCTGAGAGAGTTGCTACCAAACAGACAAAAATGGAGAACGTAAAATGCAAAAATGGGAAGAAAAAAGATTGTAAAAAAGGAAAAATCAGAGCGGGCAAAAAGGCAGCCGCTCACTGACACGGCAGAAGAAAAAATATTGTCTTTCATATCTGCGAAACGCTAACCTGGATGGAATTATGATTACTTCAAGAAGAGTTGCGCTACTGCGGGAAGTCAAAATCATCAATAAAAAATGTTCTTTCTTTTCAAATGCTGGATATGATTCATATAGATACAAATACAACAGTACTCCTTCTAAGATGCTCCTCAGTAGCTTCGGCAAACTAGAACTATTTTGCTAATTTTAACTACCCAAAACTACGCAAATTTTCCACGAAAAAAGTCCATAATTTTTTCGAAAAGTCGTTTAGCAGATCTCGAGCGCAGATTTAGAATGAGCGTTTCTAGATGCATTTTATGGTATACATTCCGAATGGCTACATTCACCAAGTATCCTTTCCTTACAAGGCCGCTTTGTACTTGTGAAAGTACAACTATCTGACCTACGATCATCGCAGTTTTGACAGAGGTACTATTTTTGATTGCGAATACGTGTCAAAATCCGTACGAGGACTTCGATAGGCTGAAGAGATTCGTGCGCGCAGATGAGCCTTTTGCACTCGTAGTAATTGGCATAGTGATGACATCAAACGATCACTGCTTAGGTTTAAAACCAAGCAAACGGTTGAACTTGACAAGAATGTTCAAATTCGGTATTCTCCTCGGAGTAAGTTACATCCATCCCATATTCAGGCGCTCTCAGCAGTATGCGTTTGCAGAGTTTGTCAGTGGTAGTGTGCCTCAACTTGAAAGGCAATGTGGAAGCACAAGGCAACTTGCTCAGTTTCCTGAAAGGTGAAGGAAAAGCCAAAGTGGAACTGAAGGTTAGTTTGATCTCATATCGAGAGCTCATCCCACACGCAATCATTGTGAAACTGATTCATATACCGCAGCATAGACATGAGATGCTTCATATAATATAGGTCGTCTTGATGATCCTGTTATCTGAATCATTCCAGTATGATGAGAACGAGTTGCAAACAAAGGTCGATGGCTATATAGATTGTATCGAAAAGGAAAAAGATGATTGTTCCACCGAAGAATTGCTGGTCTTGTATAGTCTCTACGAGTGCGTATTGTCCAAATGTTTTGACCAACTTTTTTACTTGCACCTTCTAAGTTAATTTACAGCGAAGGCGAATCGCCGACGGACGTAGTCAAGTCCGTAATTGAAAACTGGCAAGGAAAAGGTGCTGAAGACTTCGATGACGAAATGCGCTCAGAGGTGAGTACATGTAGATTTCTTAAAAATATTATTGCCAACTTACAATTACCTAGTTACTGTTGCTTCGATTGGATTTGGTAGCATATCATTAAACGTAAAGCATTGAGCTTGGCTTGCGATTTGTACATAGGGCTGTGTGCGCATATGTCGAGTCATTCGTAACTTAATATGCGTATTGCACAACATGTGTGCTAACTGACGAACTGCAAAATTAGAACCTGCCCACTGATTTCTCCTAATTTCCGTGTCCCTTTTGTTTTTGTTGGATATACGTTAGTCAGTGGAACATATTGCTACAGTTTGATGGACTAGAAATGTTATACTGAAAAGTTACTAGTAAGGGTGCTGTAGTTAGTCACGCATAGCGTGGATTCGCACATACTAAAAAGGAAAAGGGAAAAATAAGTTACAATCGACTCGAGAATACATAACCCGCGGGGAAGGGGGGAGAGCTGTATAGAGAAATTTTTTTATCTCGGTGTTGTGAAAATAGGTAATTCCCTTTGTTCATCCGTCTTTCGAAGGCTCTACTAATCAACGGCTACGCAAGCAGCAATTTGTATGCTCTCACAAGGGAGCAAAGAGCTACTCATTTTCATACCATTCTTTTCCACAGACTCAATAAACTAATCTTCAATCATGCTCAGGACTTACTAGTTACCTTTTTATCCCACAATACAGGGTGTCCGTAAAGTATGTATGCACTGTTTGATCGTTAATATGTTTCTTCCCAACGAGTCTTTTACCTTGTTTCAAGCACCGTTTTGTAGAGCTGGTTTCAACTTACAATTAGATTTATAGTATGAAGCGAATCACCGATATCTCTTCATCACTGTAAATGCTTCCGTCTCAGAATTTTTCAAAAAAAAGTGAACATTTGCATAGTAGGGTCCTTATGGACGCTGAGTTCAGTGCTCAACTATTTACAAGATTTCTAAGCTTTCTGGTATAACCGCACTTTCCAGGAACATTGAAAAAATGGCCGCTACCTCTTACCTGGCATAACTCTTTAATGAGGCATCATAGTAAGTTGGGAACTTTACAGTTAGAATCAACAACTCTATAGCCTAGTGTAAAAGCTTTCAAGCTGTTTTATTTTCTTTCTGAGGCTAAATATGGCCTTTCATGGCTCAAAACCCTCTTTGAAGTTTCTACCGTAATCCTACAGTAATGAAGCGAGATTGTGATTCGTTCTAGGCTGTAAATTCAAGTTGAAGCCAGCTCTACGAAAAGGTACCTGATGCAAGGCAAAGACTTGTTGGGAAGAAAGATATTAACGATCAAACAGTGTATACATATTTTACGGACACCCAGTATAACAATGCTGTACATGTTTGTAGCAATCTAAAGCTAACAGATGAGTATTGAAGTGCTATCCTAGTATGTACCTTGGCATGATCAAAGAGGCCGTTGCTTATACGCTGGGATTCGCGAGTTTTTTTCTACGATATATATACTACAAGGCGTCTTTTTATCATGCCAAGATATTAGGATAATAGAGTCGTTGCCTCCAAAGAACAGACAAGGAATTAGATTTTTGGTCCGGTCCCTCCCCGACGGAGTGTACGTGCATAGGGATTTAATGTACAACGACCTGATTAAGGACTACTGTGTGATTTGAAGAGATCGGTGATCACATGCCAAGTAAGTATAGTGTGCAGTCCTCTCCATGAATACTTTCCATTACTATAAGATAGTATAGTTGTGAACAATTAGGATGATCTAGAAGTTGCCATGAAAAGTTAGAAAGAAATTCTAACAACGGGCACCATAATACTATTCCGCTCTTCCCTCAACGATCAACAAAATTGTAGGCAGCTTCATGAATTTGTATTCCCACCAAGGAGTATTTTTACTGCAATAAAAACACGGAAATAACATTGTTTAGATATTCGCCTGTAAGCAATGCCCCTTATTGGATTTCTGCTAATCTCTCGCTTCTGGGCTATGTGTGTAGGCATTCAAGGGTGTTGAAAGCGCGTGGCAGTTTCAACTACTGATCGGAGCTATCTTGCTGCTCAAAAAACTGTTTTTAACAACTTCTAGTAAACCTGTTCTAACAAAAGTAGAGTGCATTCACATCTACCTGTGCATAAGGGTGAAATAGGGAAAGAAATTTTTTCTGCAATAATATTCTTTATGCTTAAGTAGGGGACAAGTCCATTGTTTTCTGTCACTTATCACCATTTTCATCAGGAATATTTCGTTTAGATCCCCAAGAAAAACAACGTGGCATGCGCGTATAGCCTCTCCAAGATTGAACTTGTGCCTGTAACTGATGCTACTCCTGCGCCAACGGATGGACCTAGCAAGGATGATTCTTCGTATTTTCTTTTTGTTTGCTTTTTCCAATAAAGGAGCCTCACTGGAATCGTGTTTTAGTCTCATATAGGTTTGTATTTGTAGTTAGAAGGGATGCGAAACGGTGGTGAGCGTTTGAGAATGAGAATGCGGATAATTACACAATCAAGTGCAATCGTTGAATTAAAGTTGGGAAACAATGCTATCAAATTTTTTAGACACAAAAAGAGGGATTTCGAATTGATCTGCTTTGAGAAAAAATAGTTTTTGTAAATCATTAATAATTGACTTATTTTATCAAAATAATTTTGATTTTACTTCTTTGAAAACATGCGTAACATGCCGTAGAATAACGGTCCTGGTAAGAAATAGGACACACTCAATGCAGCTGTTCGTCCGCTTTCAAATATTTGTTTCGTGATACTTTAACCAACGAGCTCTCAAGAAATGACCAGAAACTACGACTAATACTTTATGCCTTGGTCATGTTTCACTCTTAGAAACGAAAAAAAAAAAGAAAAAAATCCAATATTGCGCGCCCGAAGAAGACCAATGTTTTCCCACAACTCTTCACTTTCAATGAGTTTTTTTTTATTTTAACAACCATCAAATTTTAGCAAGCTTGTCTCAGAAATTAGCTCATTATACACCAATCTCGAATTGGAACCTACAATAAAAGATGATATGTCCTTGACTTTACAGAGCAAATAAACGCTTAGGGATTTGAGATATCAAATGGCGACTTAACGCAGACAGCCGGGGCGCGTACAAAACATGAAATGTGATAATTTCATTCCCAAGGAGTTTATCAGAACTAACACTGAGAAAATGAAACTTTAATTGTTCGCAAATTGTGCCCTGTAGGGTTAGCTCTATATATCCGTTACATGGACTTAGCAGGAGGGGATCGTACAAAAATTCTAAAAATTAGAGCAGGAGGGGATCTTACAAAAATTCTAAAAATTAGCGAAACTTGACCATAGCAATAAACGCAGGTGGTATTCTTTAATTTTGTATGACCTTAATCTGGCATAAAAAAACGACCTTTGTTCTGCAGAATGTTAGATTCGTTTTGAAAGCAAAACTATTCTAAAACAATCTAATAAAATTGCCTTGGCATTCAATGAACGTTCACGGGCATATCATATACAATTTTACGAATGAGAAAGTGTTTTAGATAGATGTGACTGTGCCAGTCCGTAAACGTCTTTACAACAGGGCTAATATTAGGATCTAAAGTTCAATTCAAAATCACAGTAATTCTTCGCTAAGTCAATCTTTCCAAAAAACTATTGTAACAGTAAGGCTTTATCTAAACAAAACATACTTTTCTGTAATTGTAGCAATCACGAGAAAGTTTCTTTGGCTAGAAAATTGCTAAGAATTTTCACAAAGACCTCACTTTCGAGAGATATTAGAATGGTGCACACTATACTCATTCTGTAGCCGATCTTTGCTTGGGCAAAGCAGTGTAGTCACGATTTTACAAGTGTGTTTTGCGATGAAACTTTGCTGAAAAGGGAAGGTATCTTTTCGATGCATTTCGAGGCTAAAAATCTGCATTTTTTGTAATCTGATCATTTCTTCTTCAGACAATGAGAGAATGACGTTATTCTATTATTTGCTTCTAACTATGATTAACAACAGCAACGAATAGCTACAGCGGCGTTCTTTAGGTTCATATTCTTGGCTCAAATTTCTACCGAAAATCTGAATGTGGTGAGAGTATCGAAGCACCGGATGTATAGGAAGCTAAAAGATACCAAAGTTTTGAAAAATTCTTATCTTTATTGGAAACTAGCATTTTCAAAGAGGAGGAAAAAAGCCCCTTTTCTTTCACTCCGCCTCCTTCGGACGAATCGACGACAGCATATGCAGCAGTTGCAGTTGCAACTGCAGGCTATCATGCTGTTGCAGCTGCTGGCATGCCGACGGGGACGAGCAGTTCGAAACTCTTCCGCCACTGTCCCTAGAAATCGGGCTTTTTTGAGACTTCTGAAGAATTTTAATGTCACAACTGTAATCAGGGGCACGGAAAGGCCCCAGAATGACAAAAACATCGAAGGCGAAATTTTGGGTGTACGCTGCCTTTGAGTACTTTTCGGCTATTAGTGGGATACTAAGACTTTCGAAAAACGTCGCTGAAAGAAAAAGCAAGAATTCAAATCAGAATATTTTTCTCATACCTACTTTTCTTGACATAACGATGCTCTTTTGTAAGAACTGATAGGCAGATTCAGTAGCAGTCAATAGATAAGGAAAATTTTGGAGATTAAGCTCCAATCGAAAAGATTTCATACAGTCATCAACCGAGAGGTTCATAATGAGCAAACAGAAAAAAGCTGTTTTTTACCTCATTTTAGCACACGCATCCATGTGAATTTTGAATTATGAAATTTCTGCATTTGTCGTGAACGGTGGAAAGTGACTGGTAAAAGGTACTCCTAGCTTCTGTTTTACTCTAGCACCTATAACGTTGAATCAACAAATGTTCCTATTCGCAGAAAGTCATTGCTTGTAAAACATTTGTAAGACATTTACCCTACTTTCAGTTGTTGTATAAACCGCATTTTTTTGAATTGAACCGTTTGAATTTTCAAACGAGCTGTTTAGCTGGTTCACTGTGTTTTGGAAAGCGATCCTTTAGCGCACGATAGTCTCGAAGGCAGCGTCTAGGCACAATTTCGATCTCTATTTTTTGCCTTATCCAGGTCTCTTCAAGGCGCTGATTCCATTTATGGCATTCAAAATGTGTGAATTCCTCAAAACACCCATTTTTGAGACAATTTTTGTGAGAATCGGTTACGAGTGCTCCCAATGCTATCCTTGTCGAAAGCAAGCATGAGCAGGTAGACACCATGTGTTCCATTGCGGTCAGGTGAAAACGTGCCAAAGGCTAAAGAGAGTTCATTCAAGGGGGCGGGCCGTGCGAATGAGTGGGCGTGGTCCTCTAGGTTTGGGTTTTCTGCGCCGATTTTCTCCTTTTACAGGGGATGTTTGAGAGTCGAATCTGCGCGATAATTCTAGATCGAGTTCCTAGTACTCCGGTTATGATAGTATTCGAAAGTGTCCAAATCTGCCCGGACACTGCCGTTAAGCATTACGCACACGGTATATGGTCCTTTGGTCGCTGTCTTTTGGCGTGTTTGGACTAGTCAATTTTGGGAAAAAAATCCCCGCGTCTTATACTCCTGAGAATAGGGTACTAATTAGTTCTCAACATAAATTTCTACGAGCAAGATGATTTTTATATAAGAGTGGGTATGTGCATACGTCACCTCATTACATCTCCTTTCACGCATTGTGGTGATTTCCTTACAAGAGCATGTGTTCTCAAAAAGGATCGCATTTCGGCCAACCGCTATCTTAAGCCTGCCTTGTTAGCGCAGTGATTTTACCAGAATTCAATCAGGTAGAGCGAGAAAAGCCTTTCTTAAGATACAGATATGATATTACCACATTAGAGGAGAGAATCTCTTAGAACAACTGCTTCAAGCACGAAGCAACACAAAAAAAACACAGATACGCAGCAAGATATTAAGATACAGTATTCTGTCAGATATATTAAGCCGTAAGATAATATCGTTTTTTTTTTCAAATGAACGCTACACGTGGAACAAAATTTCCAAATCTGCCAGCATCGATGCACAATCTCTTTCTAATGGTCAAAATTCACTGCAGCACAGTCAACGAGCTCTCGGGAAATTACTGAAGTGCCACCCATGCTTTTTGAGATGGCCAATTTTCACAAATTTTCCAAATTTTCATATGACCCTGATATAAACGAAATCCTCGAAACGTAAGGTTAAAGAGTTTTGAGAATGAAGGGCCACCTAACAACCTGTTTTGCGCGCCCCAATTCAATGACCACGGAACATGGGAAGTATTGAAGTTACAACTTTTTGTACAAAGATGGGACCAGCAATCTGTCGTTGTCAAAAAGTATAAGTCATAGAGTCCAAAACGGGAATGTAATCAAAATTTGAACTATTCACTGTTTTACTACACAATTTTATAAATTCATTATGAGTGTTTAAGATTAGCTTTATTGCCGCCATCACAGCAATAAAATTCGTCCTAACTATTTTGAGAATTGCATGATATCGCATCTTTTATATTAAAGGGGAAAATTAAATTCGCATGAGCTTACAAATTCTCAAATTTTAGTGCGAGTTTTATGCTCCAGGCTATTGTTTGCTTGGCAATACTCTAGGCACTTTATCCAAAGCAGATTGTGGATAACCCTCAATAGGCTAAGCATTACAATTTTTTCTGGCTGCATGGTTAACGAGAGTTCTCATTTACAGCTTTTAATGTTAATGCTCGAGTAACAATTCCGATGATAAATTGATGTGTGATTGTTTCGCGACATTTTCTCTTACTTCTCCTCTTCTGTGCTCTTCTCCGTCTGTAACAAAAACAACTGTAACAGTTGCACAAATATTAAAATCACACCAAAATCCTACAGTTCTAGTTTTAACCGTTTTGGCTAGTTTTGCCTTAGCAGCTCTCAGCCTTGCCGATTTCGTTTGTAAAGTGTTCGTATTCATTTTCGATGGGCTTGGCGCATTCCGTTTAGTCATTCGCTTCGTGGAAGTGGTTACGGTTGTTCTACGTCTTTTCGTGGATACTGCTGAGTGTGACATCCACTAAAAATTTATTTTTGGTTTTGTTAAAAATTCATTTGGAAAACTGCAGACCTCTATTTCTTCGACATCACTTCCTATATCCACAATTTCGTTCAAATTTTCATCATAGACAACCCGGTCGATAGGAGCTGATGGCTCGCTTTCTTTTTGGTTAAATTGCTGATAGGAAGATTTTCATCAAATTTAACGAATTATGTAGCATATAAATCTTACCACTTCTCCAGTTAATTTGCTTTGAAGGCGGAGCGGACCACGAAATTCAAAATTTGTTCTGTCTATTTTTCCAGGTTTTGGCCTTACAGGTTTAATCGCAGCTCGTTTCTTGAGTTTCTCTTCATCTACAATCCATTACGCATTATTTGTAATTGAGCTATCTTCATTTGATCTTTTCACTTACTTCTCGCGCGATAGACAAATATAAATGTCAAATAGGAGACAATAACGAAGAATGGAATTGCATACAGTAAGTAAAATAACCGCGAAATTGGTCTGCAAAAACAATCGTTAGAGAGCTGCATATCTCTCATCTCTCGAATTGAAAAAATTAATCGCCTTCTTGCTGTTCAATATTTTTCCTGTGATGTCCGAAGTATATGATCCGTACAAGTTTGAAAGCGCCCGAAAATTTTGATATTCTAAAGCTCGTCCAGAGTTGGCCGTGCGCCAACTCTGGACGTAGCTTTAGAACAGCTGTGCCAGTGCTGTTCCATGGCATGCCAAAGTTCTGCCGAAGTATACGTGCACGCGCCCGTATCGATTGATCGGCGTTCCGGCACGGCTCTGGCATAGTGCTGGCACGATAACTCCGGACGCAGCCTGAAACGTGTTCTAACGGCGCCCTTTCGCATAGAATCTCTCCCGGAAACTAAACAGTATTGAAAACAAATAAATAAGCGAGAGGCTAATTTTCTATAGTTACCACTAGTTCGAAGTAAAAACGGGGCGAAATAGAAGTGGTCTTAACAAACATGCAGTGAGATCCCCGTTATAGTTTGAGCCAAAGTGCTAGCCTCAAGGTGACTAAAGGGCCGGGCATACATAACCAGGGCTCGGCACGAGGTGGCTTACAAGCAAGCTGGGTATCGTTTTTGGGACGAAAAGCAAAGGGGGTTTCGTTTTTGTGACCGAAGAGACACGGAAAATTGGCGGCGGCGACCTTTCTTTTTTAGTCGACGTTTCGTTTTTTGGGGGATTTTGGGGAATTTTTCAGGCTTTTACAGGGAATTTGGTTGAGGGTCAAAGGGGACTTCGTAAAAATTCCCAGAAGTCAAGGGGGACTTCGTTTTTTCCATTTTCATCTAGCCACCTCGTGCGGAGCCCTGTACATAACGCGATTTCATTGCCTCGCGATTCTTGTATTAAGACAATGTTACAAGTCCATTGCATGTTAATCATCTTGCCTTTCGGTTGTGATAGTTTTCCATCCCGACTAATCGCAAATATTTATCACAACCGAGATGCAAGATGATCGGTATGCAATGAACCCTAACAGTTGTCTTGTCGAGAAAATCGCTAGGCGATGAAGTCGCGTGATCTATGCCCGGCTCTTAACGCGATCTTGTTACAGATAGTTTCTAGAAGCATTTGAAGAGATCCTTTAGTCGGAATACAAGTCACTCAAAAACTATTCATTCTTCCACGGCAAACATAACTCGCCAAAAGATTGAAGCGAATAGGCTGGTGATCCCGAAATCACTTCATCTCCTGAGATTTGATAACCCCATATCCTGGCAAAAAGAAGAAAGATTTGAACCCAGCATTAGAACTTCAAAACAGTACATCTTGTAAAGGTTACCTTTGATTCAACTGGCTTGGCGTCTGGAAGACGGGGCTTTGTGATCTAGTTAAGGCCGCTACGCCCGCGCCGCAGTCTGCATTTCTCCCGCACGCATGCTCTCTGATCATTAGCTAGCCTAATTAGTTCACGAAGCCCCGCCTTCCAGCCGCCAAGCCAGTTGAATCAGGGGTTAGTTCTGAGCATCGCCTGTGAACAGCAAATTCACGTCGACTGTTGGCCAAAAGGTATCTTCTGTGGCGAAAGTCATGGGTTTGCAGCCGGTAGTGTGAAGCTGGCAGTGGACAGCTTATAAGTTCATCTCAAATGATGAACAGCGTATGTATTTTGCACTGATGTTCCAAAAACCATGTGATTTCATTCTATAGCTCTGACTTCCTACTTCTTACTGTACGGTTTTATAATAGTGAAATTCAGAATAAGGCTGAAGCACTCTTTGATTCAACTGGTTTGGCTGGAAGGAGGGGCAACGTGACCTAATCAAGGCGACAATAATCAGACAGCACGTGCGCGACAGAGATGCGTTGCGGGCGCGAGCGGGTCGAATGAGGTCACAAAGCCACGCCTTCCAGCCGTGAAGCCGTTTGAATCAAAGGTTACCACTTACTCGGGTGGTGAGTTATATCCAGGTTCTTTCAACCTGCTCAGTTCGGAAGAACTAGAATCCTGCAAAAGTGGGTTGACATCCTTTGAAAAGCTGCAGTGACTACAGATCCTACCATAAGAGGGGTACGCTATGCAATGAATGATGCATATGCCATTGTAGCTTTCAGGCTTTTGTTTATTTCACATATCTCCGGAATTTGACTTTACACCCAACACTGGCTGCTGTTCGGTTGGCCTACAAGGCAGATTGCAATGTTCAATTATTGAGTATCGTGTACTTGCAAGCGAGACTTTGAAGGACCAAAGAAATGAGAGGAATTTTTGAACAGCAAGAATTCTGCAGATTCTGAAGCAACGTCTAATTAGGGTATAACCACTGTAGGGCCTTGAAGGCCAGCGCAGTAGAAATGCATGAGAGTTAGGACAAATTTTGGGATTGATGTCGGCAAAATATGGAAGGAGAGACTCTCATACGTCAAGATATTTTGGAGGAGTACACAAATTTCCCGTGCAGTATGTTTGAGAAGTTTAGCAGGCAGTATAATCTCCAGCCCTTATTTTGTAGTATTTCAGACATTTCACCGGAACTTCCGCAGAACAAACGAACAGCGGTTCCGCAGGGTTTTGTCTATTATTGCAAAGGTGGGAGCATTGAAAATGGGAACTTCCGCGGGATTTTCATGCCAGACTAGTTAACACGTTTCGGACCGGTGCTGCACATGGTGCAGCACGCTGCTTTGAAGGATCTTTTTAATGTTTACAGGAAATTTTCTTTTAGTTCAAGATTATCAAGTCAAGGGCTTAAGCTTCTACTTTTCAACTGACTCTGTAATGTCGTGCCATCAATATTCGTTTAGGAGATATGAGCACAAATCGAACATCAGTTGCAACGAAGCGCGGCAACGCGAACGACGCGTGCGACGTCGCAACTTTTCTTTGCTTCGATATCAAAGAGAATAACCGTAGTTTCAATACTGATGCGTACCGTTTACAACATAGATACTTTTGGATATTACCAGAAACTGAGTTCTTGTTCCTATCTTTCAGGAAAGCACAGAAGTCCTTCCCAAGCGACAAAATTTAAACACTTCGAATTCACTCAGAACTTTGTGGATGGGACTTATGTGAAATGCTGATTACAGATGTAGCACATAGCCTTCGAAATAAGTTCCCTATGTTGGCTAACGGCTGAAAGTGCACTCTTTTTCGCCGCGCGCGATTTCGCGGTCCGAAACGTGTTAAAAACGGGAACTTCCGCAGGTAACCCGGCGGAAGTTTCCCAAACGTTCTGCGGAAGTTCCGGTCAGTTGTCTGACATGATGAGATGCGAATGATGCATTTAGGTGAGGAAGAACTTGGAAAAGAAAACTTCAGAAAAGCTATTTCCGGAGACACCTGCTCTAGTGATCTAGAAAATTCTGAGTCAGATTGGGTCCTAGCTGTGAAATGAGGAGAGATTGCGCAGACCTGATACCAGTCAATAAACAAATATGAATAATGGAACAATATGCGCGGGTGGGGGGGGGGGGGGAGAGCCTTTATATCATCTTAACCCAACACTCACAGTGAGGGTAAAGTAGAAGTGGGCAAAAGGGAAAGGGAGTGGATGGGATAGGTGTTGTGTCAGTACTGGTGTTCTGCTTTTTGAAGTTAGCAAAAAGAGTTATAAAACTGCGGAATTACGTGTAGATAAATTAGAATGTTTTTTTTTGATTTCCAAAGACTGAAATTAGCTCCGTAGAAGGAAATTTTTCGTAGGGCTCGCTTGAAACTGGGATCTGGGATGCATCCAAATTTTTTTGAAAAGTGCGCCCAAAGCCGCGCCCTTCGCCCTGAAAAAAATTTGTGTAGACCCCTCGAATACTCTACTGATAAAGGCGGCATACTTAGGAACTGCCCAACTCATTTTTCGTCAATCCTACAGTCGCTTGGCAATCTCTAAACCACCTTAGAATCCGCAATCAAAGCGTGGACAACTGATTCTACCAAAGCAATTTATTCTATATCAGATTCTCATTCCACACGAGTATAGAAACCATAAATCAAGCATGTATTCTGTGATGTCTCAGTAAAGAACTAAAAGAGCAACAGAAGTACTCACTATGTACCAAACCTGAAAATCAGTCTCAAGAAACCATGTGAATAAAAGGCGGATAGTATTCAGAGAAGGAGCTGACGAGACCTAAACAGCGATCAGGGAACCGTTCAATTTTATGAGCCATGTAGTCATATGTTTCGTTATCATCATGACAAGGAGGTTCTTCTACACTAAAGTTCCACATTTTAGGCGCGTTTTCATATGAATCTGTAGCAAAATCTTCTATAAAATCATCATGAGAAACTGAAGGGATACGAGTATCTTCGACATCAAGAGGGATAGGAGCAATGCACGGCAGAGGAATAACTGTATGGTTTTCGGCAACTGGGGCTTTCCAAGATGACAAAGCACAAGGGATAGCGAAGAGGGACATAACAGAGAAAGTATAAACTGCAGTCATTAGCCCAAAGAAGGAAACAACAGCTTGGAGCATTGATATCAAAGGAAAAGAAGAGCTGAGCTGGAGAATTTCATTATACGTACAGAAACCATTCTTTGTGACGAAATCATTAGCCACCCAGTGCTCGAAAAACGTCAACCATTTATCAAATTCGGCTTGGCCAACCATGACATTCCAATTCTAAAAAGGAGGAACATTGACTACAGTAGTAGAAGGTTATATCTTCCATTTCATGCATACAAAATCTGGTAAACCCATTTAATTTAGTGGTTCTCAAAAATTGGTAGGGAAGTTTTCCCACGCAAGCTAGCCACACAAAATTTCTTCTTGCACTATGATACAAAGAAGCAAAAGATCGCACCCCCTCCCCTCCCCCCAGAAGAAATTGTCTTCTTGCATAATCTTTTCGTCAAAAATGAGATATCTTCCGCCAATGCTATACATAAGAGTTTTTGTGCAGTTACGGAATTCTGCGCAATGTAGTTATGAAAAGACAATTCAAAAAAGCAACTCAAAGTAGGACCAACACTATTTCCAACCTCTGATAACACTTCAATGAAAGTTGAGAATTTTACGAATAAGTATGTAAACACATTGCACAAATCTCTTTCAGCATTATAGTCAAAAAGAACTTTTACTCGCACCAACAGACAAACTGGTAAAAAAGAGATCAAAGACAGCTCACCATTCTTTGAACAAATTCCCATTCTAATTGGTTTAAATGCTGGTTCGAGATGTTAGCAGCTTCCGCCCAGTCGGCATTTGTTGCTCTGTCATAGGTGTCCGAATCGTGAAGAAATTTGGAAGCGAGCACAAGCGCCGGTAGATAGAGATCAGTGGGGTCGGAAGACTCAAACCATGCCTTCAATAAAAAAATAAGGTGGCGCCTTGTAAAAAAAATTCTGGAGGGCAAACCTTGTCATTAACCCTCAGCCGATCAAGATAGACCATGGCTACGACGAGCGTACACGGATCGGCATATCCTCGTGATCCTATGCTCGCTGACGTTTCCGGTTTCATGTAGTCAAAAGGGGACTGTTTGTTGAAGTAATCCACAACGAGTTCTAAAAGAAAATTCATGACGGCTTGCCGTTCAGCGTACCTGAGTAAACCCAAGTTACCATTCTCCTACAAACTTTAGTCTTAGCTTAAAAAATAGATCAAAAATGAGAACAAAGCCTCTTTTACGAATGTATTCACTAATCGAATACTATATTGAAAGATCAACTTCGCGGTGACTGATGAAGTAAAGAGATTAAAAAAACATATGTCAAGAAAATCACGCGTACCGGAAAGGGGCAAATTGATTGATTGCGGTTGTTTAGATCCATAACACAGGGTCCTTCGAATCCTTCTCCGTACTCTTCTGAAATCTGGAAACTGCGGAGCCATGGCCTTCGATCTGCAAGAAAGTCATGGAAACTTGCTGTGAATGGTTTGCGTAGGATGAAGGGATATTCACTTGACTAGAAGCAATAGGAGTTTGCGAATCAAACTGAGACCCCCTACTCAAAATATTCAATGTCAGTGGCAATAGGATGATTCTTACTTCAATCCCAACAAGATCAAAAAGACTGCAAAAATTGACCTTCCTCAGATTTCTTGCGAAAAGCAAGCTAAAATTACCTAGCAGACTCCAAGAAAAGACAGACTTCAAAAAAGCTAACGAGATGCTTTACGATACAGAAGGCATTAGTTAAAATACAGCAAATATCGAATGTAAGACAATAAAAATGAAAGAAGAATCACAAACAGACAGGAAAAAGAAAAGCAGTCAACGGGCGGCGGAACTTTTCGTTAAAAAAAAACAACCGCTACGCGTCCCCGGCAAGCGGGCGGCGTCATTGAAGCACACGTTTGACTTGGAGCACGCAAGAGAAATTCGATTGAACCATTGAAACGGGTAAGAGCATAGCAGGATGCCCTGTATTCACACTGAAGCTTCCTCATTGAACAGGTGCTTTGTTCAGCGAGCGGTACGTGCCATTCTGTTCACACGTTAGAAATCATTTCCATGCACTTTCCAACTTGATGGCAACGATTTCATAATGTGTGCTTGAAAGCTTACTACTTTAGTCTTACGAAATACAGAAAGAAACATTAAGCTATGAATAATCACACTGTTCCGTGATAAAAGTTTGCTACAGAGTGGTTTTTCTGATCAGCAGTCAGTAGAGATCCGTGCGTAAGTTACGAGATGTGAGATTTTGTATTTTTTAGAAAATTGAAAGGAGGAAATGACCTTGTTAAACTCTCATTAGCCGTAAGACAGCAGTGCTGATATTTCTAAACAAAACTTATCAAATAATGAAGAAAATTGAAATGATAAATGCTCAAAAAGTGCGACTTATCTTTTTGATTGCGGCGGAATACGATGTTGTGCAATTGCACGTAGCAGCAGCCAGACATACCCAGCTATACTAGCTCTGCTTAGCCGCATTAGTCATAGATTTTGAACCAGTTACTAGTATATCTGTTGTAGGATCTCTTTGTAAATACGAAGTTCAAGCCGAAATTGTTCAGTTGTATATACACGTAAACACTTTGTATAAGGAGAGAGAACGTAGGGAAGTGAGTCATATTGACTCAGCTATGTCCAATCTTGGCGTGCAGTTCATTATGTAGAGCTGAACAAACATTTTAATTTATTTTAAGCATATCTGTAAGGAAATCTCAATTTTTCGGTATGCTCGTGTGAACTGCAATTCTCTAAAGCTGGCAAGGCGTGTTTATTTTTGATATGTTTACAATTTTTGGGGATTGTCAGGTAGAAAAAGTTATTATATTGTTATATTGATTTATTGTTACTAGCGAACGGGTAGAAGACTACATATATGTCGCCGAAAAAGGGCGGTCCCTGCTGTCATTTGCGACAAATAAGGACCCTTGTACAGGCGCGGACATGAGTACGATTATTTATATATGAAATATTGTTATATATATTGTTATATTGTTATAATATATTATATAATGTTATAATTTTTCTCTAAAAAAACTGAAAACTTTACGAAGCTATGCTTGGGATATACGGAGATAAGACTAACCATTAGCGTCGTTTTCACCTTATAAGGAAAGGATACCAATGTGATCTGGCAAACCAAAAGGGATGTATATCGGTAGATGCGCCTTCAACGCTGATTCCGAATCTGCTTTTTATTTCTGCGGAAAAATTCTTCGAAAGAAGTTATGAGCGTTGGAAAGCGAAGCACTTATGAACACTTTTGAGCATTCTTAAGTGTACAGTGTAGTGTATACATGCGAAGCAAATTTGAATGTTCAAATTTGTCAAGCCCTGACATAAAATGCGCAAAGCTGTGCGAACACAACTGAAAATAAGAAATCAATAGTTATCAAGTGTGTTTGACTACAAGGAAGAAATATAGCCAGTGGAAAGGCGCTTACGCTTTTTTGTGAAGCTATTTGCTGATTCTATGCCTCCCACTAGTAAATTCAGACTTTTGAACGCTCATAAGTGTTTTCGGATTGTTCCGCAGAAAAGAAAAACAGATTTGGAATCAGTGTTTATAGCGCGTCTAGTGAATGAAATTCTTTCTGGTTTTCGAGATAATGGTATCCTCTCCTTGTCGACATAAGTTACTACAAGGACGATTCTGTAAAGAAGCTCAATTTCCGCTGTTTTTTTCACCTTTTGAAATTTTTTCACTCTTATTTTACGTTTTTAGATTTTCTGTGGGCTTTCGAGGATATTTATAGAGAGTTCAAAATAGGTAAAATGAGCCTGAGATCTGCCCAAAATATTCGCAAAAGTTTAAAAAAATTGTTCTTGTGTAGGACAGGTATATTTATGCAGGAAGCTACAAGTCTCATTTGATAATAAAGAAATTTTCAAAAAAGTTATGGTTGTTATGGTGGTCTGACAAACTCTGTACTTCAACGGAAAATTTTATTATTTTGATGCTTGATTAGGAACTAGGTCTGTGCTCTGTCTATCTCTTTTCTTCAAAAATATGACGAATTTGGGGAATTTCCGTTTCATGATATGTCTATGTCTACATCAAAATCCTACTTTTTTCGTTCATAAAGATTTGGTCGCTCAGGGTGACATCATACCACTAATTTACTTGTCAAAAACATCTCTCCAAAATTTCTTCCATTTTTGGGAAGCCACTGTGAGCTGACTGCATACAACCACAATTACAAAGATTTGCCGATTTGTTGATTTAGTGTTAGGGGTTCTTTCTCTAATAATAAGGGATATAAGTTTTCTAAAATGCTCAGTATCCCATTTGCGAGGTTCTGATAGAGCCAATTACTCCTGCTTTCTTCGCTGGCTAACTCAGTTCTTAATAAATAAAAGTCTCTATTGTAGCAAAAAGAAAAACATGAGGAAAACCAAAAAAAATCAGTGTGGGCAGTTCATTGCTGCATTGTATGCTCGACAGATTACAAAAATCTTTAGAAACCTTAATTTCTTCTACCCGCGCGCCCTACTGCTTATGAACTTTTCGTCATTTTTTTCGTTCATCAGCCAAAAAAAACAAGAGAAAAAACAAGTCGAGAACTTGTTTTTTCGTACTATAGGGGTAGACTAGAAACGCGAAAAAACGATGATTACGCTAAGCGCATTTGATCCGAGATTGGCTGCGTTTGAACTAGTCCCGATCTACACACGTATATCCGCACAGCAATTATAACATACACTGCCAAGGTCGGCCCTAGTGCACTTAAAATTGCTTGGCAGTATCGTTGTTTTCGTTACGTCAATGTTTTTGCCAATGAAAGCGGTTTTTCTAGCTTTCTATAGTCATACCACTTTGTTGAGGCGCTTAGCTATATATGTCACGGGTTAGGTGAATCTTCCTTGCCCTACTCACTAAACTGCCGCATTGATGAATGTACCTCATTTTTGGTTACAAACTACAAATTCCTTATAAATGCAAAGTTTCGACTCAGAGCAGTCAACTAGCTAATATTTTCATCTTCTTTGCTCACTGAAGTAAAAAAAAAGTTAACCCAGTCAGTTCTTTCCCTCCAAAAACCATAGATATTCTCTCAAGCTAGTAAAGCGTAATCTTCAAAAAGTGACCATCACTTGACTCGTAAGAAATAAAAATGTTCCTTATAAAACAAGGAATCAAAAACAAGTGGTGGACATTTTTTTCTAGTACTCGATTACTAGAGAAGTAGGTACTTAAAAATTTATTTTGCTAAGTTTAACCATCGTAAATGTACCCAAAATCGAATGAATCGTTTTGAGTCTGGTAATTGTCACTGAGAATTACTGGTCATCTAAAAATAAGCTCGTTTTGGCACGCAAATCTTCACAGAAATTTTCTTGTTGCTTCCTATCCATGATTTTTTTTGTAAGTAGCGCAAATCTTCTTCTATCACATGCCAAGTATTCAGGATATTCTATCTTTGGTAGAGACAGTTATGCCTCAAAATGGCTAAATTTCCAAAAGCTCAATTCTTTGACTTCCTAAGCTTCGTTTTCATGCTGTAATGGAATATAAAGAACAGCAACTTGGTATTTGGATATGGAGGAATACTCTCTATTTAGCGAATAACAATTCTTTTACCAAAAAGCCAAATTTTCCCATATTTGCGCACTATGACAAAATTGGGGTTTCTTACTTCTTCGACCGAACTTATGTATTAGCCAAACTAATATTTTTTTGCCCGCACATTTGTCTATCACTCGCTTATTTGCCTAATATGTTTCCATGTTATGTTTAAGTTATACAATTTTTGAAGTTTCACAACTGAATGCAATTGATGTTCATTTAGTATAAGCTGACTTGCTCTCACTCTATGGTTCATGAAGTTGTTACTAGTTCTCTTCCACTTGTTTATTCCCTCGCTGAGCATTGACTCTGTAGAAGGATTTATACGGAATGTCCTTTTAACAGCGCGAGATATGGGAGAGAGGGTAAGGCTGTATTTTCATCAATAATCGCAGGATCATTGATCTTTCACTGTTGATTCCGTCCAGGCTCTCTACAGCTTGCACATCCCCACTTCCAACGATGTCGTGAACAATCCTGGCATAGCTTTCTCGCTAGACGACAAATCCGCCTATGCTATCAAGTCACTAGGGGAGGTGAGATAAGTTTGGTATGGCTCTCTAAAGCTGAAGAGTCACAGAGTTTATGTTTCAGTATTTCAATACTTGCCCACCATCCATTCCTGCTCCCATTTTGAGTGGTTCTTGGCATGTTACTCATGTGAGCAAAAAATGGGCGCAGACAGTACTGGCTGACTTAGACGAGGTGGGTATAAATTTAAAATATTAGAAAACTTTTGCTTAATCGGAGGTTTTTTGATACCCATAAATGCGTAAGCGCAAGCTTGTTTTTTTACTGATTACATAATTTGCTTGCGAAGCATCATTTACAAATAAAACCTGCTAGGAGAAGGTCAATGCCATTGATTGACTCACTCAATGCATAGATTGCGTCCATTGCTGCGACGCGGTCGTGTTGGCGCGCACATTAAATCTGAAAGCATACTCAGACGTTAACAAATATGTGTTTCTAAACTAGGTGATTCACAGTTTATCTTTCAGGATATAAATCTCCTGGCGAACGGACAGCCCTTACCAGTACGGAAATCACTTGCTTCAGTTCTTCGCGGTGAACCACAGATTTCTTGTATGAAAATGGAATGTAAGTTTGAAGTTCGTTGCACTCTTAGATCGAAATTGCGCATTTTGTTGGAAAGTGCAGTTTCCTATCAAGGAAATGATGGAAAATTATATGAGTGGCGTCTAATGTAAGAAGTTTTTGCGGAGGGCATGTCAAATGCCATCTCACTTTATGCCAATGGTTGCCTATGGTTTAGGCAGTTCCCTCTGCGCCCTAAAGAAAAAACTTTTTGCCATGAGGAGGTTTTTATTCTGACCTCTTGCACTTGTAATCAGGCATACGGTTTATGCTTGTGCAACTGACCAGAATAGAGCGGCATCTGCCTCAAACGTATTCAACTTTCTCAAAATTTTCACATACCTATTCAAAATTTTTTTCCAGTAATTGCGAGCTGTGTATGTTACTGGTTGTACCAATTGAAAACAAATAAAGGACCATTCTTAATCATGGAGAACAACATTAATATGCCCGATGTTTCCATAAGCAGCTATTGTTCGACGGAGTCAGTGTACTTGCCAGCTACATCCCCGTCACAATACTTTTGGATGCTAGCAATGTTAAAAGCGCATTCATTCAGCGCACTTCAACGATATTACGATACTTTCTAATACAAGAAAACAGTCTGTGTGCATTTGAATCAGAAGTCATATAGGCGTACTGCAAAGGCAAGATGCTAATTTTAGTAATCATGTTACAACATCTTCATGATATCAAATGAAGCGAGATAATCATCATCACAAATTAAATAAATAGTGGACTTTACTTGAAATACTTGGAAGCAGTTGAGGTTACTGCACATATGACCTACTCTTCCTACCACGAAAAGTGATGCTGCTCGGATCTTTCAAGAAGATTAATGTTGTTGAAAAGTGAGAAAAGTTGGGTTTTTGTCTTTGGTAATCCTGGAAATTTATCAGTCCCTCGGAAGCATTCTGTTCTATATGTTATACAGATTAAAAAATGCGCGATTTTGTATTCAGTCTTGGGAGGCAATGCAATGAAACAGTTTCGCAACTTGTCATCCTATTTTGTTTCTGACGTTATTTTATGATAAGGACCTAGTAAATTTTTTCCATCCCCTCCCCCCCCCCCTATAAGGAAACTTAGGCTTCAATGTCGATAATGCTGCAACTCATTCCCATGCTAAAGTGAAACAAAACCAAAGTAGTGTTTGTGAATAAAAGAAATGGTCAGTCGTGTAAAACATATACAAAACATAAAAAACACACAAAAAACAAACATAACAAAACATAACAAACAAACAAAAACAAAAATAAACATAAAACATATGCTCGTTTTTTTTTTGAGGAAATGACACACAGTCGCCCGATTCGTGTGATATCACCGTAACGTGGCCATATCTCGCTTCAGAGTGGGAGAATCGTTGATCCAAGGGCACCATTCGACTCATTGTCAGCTCGGCTCGAAGCATCTTTTTATATATAGGAGTCAGCGGCGTACACAGAATTTCCGCTCGGGGGGGGGGGGGCGACAAAAAATTTTTCCGAATGAAGGTGCGTGACTTTAGCCACGCACTCCGAAAATATTTTAAAGATGCTTCTCAAAATTTTCGCGGGTCCCCAACTACTAAAATCTGGAAAAAGGGGCGTGGCGTCAGCCACGCCCTCGAAAAATTTTTTTTACAAGGCTAATTTGAATTTTTAAAAAATTTCAAAGATTATTTTATATTTACAAGTATAAACAAGTCACTTGCACATTTTTATAACCCATATAAGTAACTTTTGAAAATTTCGCGACCCATTCTCGGGGGGCCTTTGGATTGAGAGTTCGTCCACTCTGAAGCGAGATATGGCCACGCTACGGTGATCTCACATGAATTGGGCGACTGTGCGTCGTTTTCCAAAAAATACGAGCAGTACTGTAAAACCAAATACCCGTAGGGTAGACATTTAAGCGAGCTTTCTTAGTATTGCAGTTCTGGACGACAATGCAGCGTCTCGTTTTGAGGTATCTTATCTGAAGGATGGTGAGAAGCGTTCAGTGATCGGCGATCTTTTCCGAAGGCCTGATAGATCACTCGAACTCGCCATTGCATCATCTTTTAACACAAAAAGTGCGTAAATTTCCAAATTGCTTGGCCAAAAATAGGCAAAATAGTCTACATACATAAATTTCAGTGATCGTCTCATACTCGATGGACCATTCTTCTCCTAGCCCACTTGACGTTATGGTCCTGAGCCAAATCGACTTTTTTCCAAAATGCGAAAACTATGTGATTCTACAGAGATCAATGGACAGCACTCGTATTTTGCAGATTCTTACCGCTATCGGTGCTAATTTTCCATCTAATCCTCTTGTACATATTCGTTGCGAACAGGTTCCTCAAGGAAATAACGCTATCATAAAGCCATTGTCTATGATAAAACCATTATAACTCATTTTCTCGACGTTTCTTCATGTCAGTGGTATTCTTTTGCCGTTTACCAGATTTGATTCTTCATGGGATTTCTGACCATGGCATGCATCTGCGCTGCCTGAAGAAGAAGGATTCTACAACATTCAGTACTTGAAAAGGAAATTGTTTCAAGTGAATGAAGCTCGTACTACTAACTAGGGAAGGATTCCCAGCCACAATGGTGATCTGGGACGAAATGCATGTCTATAGATGGGTCTTGTTGAGTTGATTCCAAACTGAACTTTCATTTCTGCTGAGCTCTTCTTTAGAGGAATTTATGAGCGTCTGATTATTTGACTTTGGCAAAGATCCAGTGCCGTAACTTCAAGAAGCAGCTGTTCAAAGACATCTATGTTGCGGGCATTCTGTCAATTATACACTCCCACTAAAGTGGTTTATTGGCACATCATGCATTGATACTTTGAAAATTCACATTTTTGAAGGTTTGTAACTTCTTCTAGAGGGTGAGTGACTTTTTATACGATAGGAATCTCAGGCGCAAGGTGTGGACACCCTACGACCAGATACTTAGACTTTCACACAATTGCTCGTCATCATCCTGATCTTTTAACAGCGATGAAGAAAATTGAAGTAGAAAGAGAAAAAGAACCTGAGTCTATGAAGCCGAAACCTACTTTTTTTATAATGAGAAAGAACACTGCAATAGCATCATCATAGAAAAAATTCAGCTAATACGAGAAAAATTGTCAAAATTGAGTTTTCCCTAGCACGTCTCCGTCGCAGTAGTTTCTCAATTGCTGTTGCAAAGAATCGAAATTAAACGTTATTTTTGCAGACGTTCCTAGAAACATTGACATGCTGTCTTTCCTACCTTTAGCAGGCTTTGAGAATGTTGGTTACAAATATGACGCTGTCTGATGACCTTAACTATGATATTTTCCAAAGCTTTTCGAACTTTTTATCAGTGCACCACCCGAAGGGCATTTCAAAACGTGTTTGGAATTTGCTGGGAAAAAGATTGAATAGTATTTGTTTGCCTTGCAAATATTTACTTTGTACATTTTCTAATGAACACTTCATTTTGGTCCATGCAATCGATTTTTGATCGTAACTATTGGCATCCTGGCATACCACCAAAAGGTCAGGGTGATCTAATTATGAGAGCATTCGTATAAAAAGTCTCCTCTTTTTTCTAGGAAACAGCATACCAGATATGGAGATAGATGGAATCATTCATGAAGGTGCACACATCATTCCAATTCGCCATTTGCGATCCTTCTCTTTGAAGTTGTGTATTCGTTCTTTAGCACATTGAGCTCGCAACTGCATAATTCACCGAAATGATATTCACTAAAATCCAGTCAATAATGTATGTTTCTGGTCGCACAACCTTCTGCCAGCTTACCATCGGATTTTTCAGCAACGTTTTTTTGCAAAATGAGCGATTCTGTTCTCAACGTTATCCGAACAGCTGCTGAAATTTCTTAAGAATAGAAATAAACGGTGTTTCTATGTATCCGTTGAAGCTAGATCTGGGGAGTACGGTGGGTGTTGGAGTAATTTCCAGTTGAAGACAGTGTCCGTACGAATTTGAGAGCAATTTACTTTAAACGGATTACTGCAGCAGGCTCCCTTTTAAGCCAAAAAGGTGTAGGCTTTTGTGAACCTACTCTAACCGCGATGGCTGCGATAGGCCAGTGCGTCTCAGAGGCCGCGCCGTAATTGGCTGCCTTGATAAGGCAGCGGTTGACCTGAGCAGGTGAACTGCGAAAACGGACGAGTTAGTGACCTACCTCTCCCAAACCTTCAAAGAGGTATCGCAGACGCATGATGCCAACCGAAAGCTGCTATTCTGCTGTCTTATCTAATGAACACGCTCCCATTTATCCATTGAACTGATGTTTCCAATCACGGAGAAATTATGAGATGTTTTCGGTCCAACAACTAAAGTACTCTATTCTTGGTTATTTGATTTGAATGCTGATATTACCCTTGCTCCATGTGTGCAATCGTTACTGCGTCCCTATCGTCACATTCATTTGTGCATGTGAACTAAACAGTACTTGTGCGGAAAACACACTTCCATTAGCTTGATCAGTGCTGAAACTTCAGATCCAAAATATGCAAAGATAACCCTCACCTTGGCCGTGTTTCCCTTTTGCACTGCAAATTCAAGCTGCTGCTTATTGGTGCAGTTTGTCGCCAGCAATTTGATTCTGAGTCGATTACAGCAGATGCATGTTTATAGTCTAAATCACACAAATACCATCAGCCTCAAAACATAGTCTTAAACATTGAAAAATAGCGGATATCGCTGATTCGTGAGTATTAGAGAGCTGGGAAGTTCTAGAATCCGACTCAAAAGTTTGATGTACAGCAGGGACTTACAAAAACATTCAAATTCCAGGCAAAATTTGAAAAAACTATAATAGTGAGATTTGAGCGACGTTTGCGCAAAAAATCACATGCTATCGACATTGACAGTTGCTCGGTTAGGGATCGTTCAGACAGCGCACAAAGGCGCACAAAGGCGCACGAAGGCGCACGAAGCCGTGTGTGAGTGTGTGTGTGTCGAGATAGACGAGACGAGACGAGACGCGCCTTCGTGCGCCTTTTTGTGCCTTTGTGCCGGTCTGAACGATCCCTTACGAAATCACAGTGACGAATGATTTACATTGCCTCAATGCATATGAGAACTGCATAACAAATAAGCTTCATTTTTGTGGTCGCTTAGTTGTCTCTCATTAAAAGATCAATTTCATAACGTAAGTTTACGTAGTACTTTTCATGATGACCAGTGCTTCATTCTCTGCGAAGCAGAGATGAAGCACTGGTTTTTTATAAAGATGAACTGTAATCTTCATCAATATGTAAGTAGTACCTTTGAGGATTGGATTTGAGCCGCACTGAAGGAATGCACAATGTCGAAGAAGAATTGAGATATCGAGAAGTGCCTTCCTAGAGAAATCATGATTATGATTGCTAAAACAATTGTAATATTTATAGATATTTCGTGTCATTCTAATGATCGTCTGACGTTTGACCATACGATCTGAGGCTAGCAGGTAACCTTTGATTCATCTGGCTTGGCTTTGGGAGGAGAGGCTTTGTGAAGTGCTTGAGCCGCTCGCGCCCGCGACGCACTTGAGTATCTCTCGCGCCGGTGCTCTCTTACCACTAGCTAGCCTAAATTAGGTCACGGAGCCCCTCTTTTCCGAAGCCAATCCAGTTAAATCAAATGGTATTGTGGCAAGGCCGGCTTTTTATTGTTGTGTAGGTCTAGTAGTGAGGAAACGCGGAGGAAGGCTGAATTTATAAACAAGAATAACACAACTCAATGTATTAGGGCGTTCCGAAAGCTCTTGCGCACGGTTTTCAAAAGTCAGCTTCTGTTTTTTTTTCAACCGATTTGACTGCTTATATTTTTCTATGAAAGAATAAGTCGTGCTCTTTATAGTTGGGTTCGAATCGAATAGAAATTCGATCATTCGAATAAAACATTCGAATATATTCGTATTCGAAATTCGATATTCGGAGTTCTTCCATTTTCGAATAATATTCGAAACTCGAATAATTGAGAAAACGGTGTTTCGAATAAAACTCGAATAATTAAAAAACAGGGATTCGAATAAAATTCGAAAACTCGAATAATCAAAAAACGAGGATTCGAATATTATTCGAAAACTCGAATAATCAAAAAACGGGGTTTCGAATAGATTTTATTCGAATGTTTTATTCGAATGTTTATTCGAATTCGTATTCGAATGAACTCCGTATTCAGATTATTCGACTTTGTTGCAGAGCCAACTGCTGGGTATCAAGCTCACTTCGTCCGCGTTATTTTTTCGCAAAACTCGGTGATGCATCTTTTGCAACCGTTGTGACCTTTGAACTGTGTGGAGAGTCGCGTTCTTCCGACTGCTTGCGACAGTAAAAAAATCATATGTGAATTTTAATTGATGCTTTTTCGATCAATGAGATTGTTCGCACTGCTATTGGCACCAAATCAGCAAAGAAGCTATCAAATTCAAGCTCATGTTCCAAGTTCATATATTGAAGGTGTTTTGAAATGCCTGTTTTCCTCTCTTTGCATTGCTCATGCTTGTGGTACGCAAAGCCCACACTAGTGAGCACTCTTGCTCGCATAAGTTATATTTTACAGCTGCCTCCATTCGCTATATATGTTATGAGTAAAGGACATCGCAACTGTAGTGGAGGATTAGACGGTTTAGATCGCCGTACGCGATTTGCCAATTACGAGTGTAACGCGCCAGCTTACCTAAAATGTTTAGCGTGTACAACTTACTAAAAAGATAATTGTGCTGCATTCTGTACTTTTAAAATAAGTTTTGGACAATTTGACTATTGCCAAACCACGTCGCCACTGAAATGCCTGCAGTATGCCCAAGGCTATAGGGGCTTTCGTGCTCGCTTCGCGGAATGAACCACATGCCTTCGTCCGCGACTAGCTTATACCACACACGGGGGTGAGTGAGGGTGCTGATTATGGATAAAAACTTACTTTATCGGTTTTTAGAGAAATTTTAGCTGCGGGACTGGGAGTTGGTATAAGGGGGTAAGTGAGGGTGCCGATCATGAATAAAAATTTACTTTATCGATTTTGTCGATTTTCGGAAAATCTTGCGCTACGAGGTTGGCAGTTGGCAGAGGGGGGGGGGTAGAGGATGTTGATTAAAACCGAAATCTATTTTCTCGATTTCAGCGATTTTTAGAGAATTCTGAACTAGGAGTTGGTATGGGGGATACGAAGTTACTGTCGGGTTCAGCCGGATATGTCGGCAAGTTTGAGAGGTGGCTCTAGTTATTCGATAAATCATTCGAATAATTATTCGAATTTCGACTTCCAGTGTTCGAATATATTCGAATTAAATTAATATTCATTCATTCGATATTTTTGATTTTCCGAATTTACTCGAAATTCATTCATTCGAGAATTTTTGAACCTCGAATTTATTCGATAATCGTTTATTCGAGATTTTTTATTTTCGAATTTATTCGATATTCATTCATTCGATGAAAATTTTTC